GCACAAGGAAGCGGGGTTTCTGGATGGAGGGGTAAGGCTGGGGCTAGGTGGCCAGTTACCTGGATCCACTCCCGCTCCACCAGTTCCTGGAATCCAGTCATGGTCCGACTCAAGGGGTCCAGGATGAGTTGGGCCAGTGAAGTCACGAGCAGGGTGCTGTCTGTGCCTTCAGCCCCATGCACCAGGATGCAGGCCCCTTCCCTGTGGACCCAGGGCTTATCAACAGCAGTCACACCTTCCCTGCCTGGGGTGGCCGGGCCAGGAATAGAATGGGCCCAGTTCTAGGCTGTATTTGCTTACTGAGACATGGTTTTGTGCCCAGGGGTTGAGAGTCCTGCCCATCCCGTCTTGTTCTCTGTCTTAGGGTGGGGGTGGGGGGACCTTACCTCTCCATGCCCTGTGCTGCCAGACAGGCGGTGCTCAGAGCCTCCTTCACATGTGCCAGCCAGCGGCAGCCCTCTAGTCGACTAAGCCAGCGGTCCATGCTCTGCTCCAGGTCCCCACAGGCCTCCACCAGGCGCACAAAGCTCTCTTGGAGGGGCCGCCCCCTGCACAAATGGGAGTCTGGTCATCCCTCCCCCAGCCCAAGCTTAGGTGAGCACAGCCTGGGGACAAGTGCTCCAGAGCAGTGAGGGAGACACAGAACCCTCAGAGGAACCTATCTGGTGAGGGGGACACAGGACCCTTTGGGGAGCCCACCTAATCTGATGGAAGTGATTCAGTATTCTTGAGGATTCCCCTATCTGATGGAAGACACCCAAGACCCTTTGGGAAGACCTAGTCTGTTGGAGGGGAAGAGCATCATCTGGGGAAGGGTCACATAGCCCTCTGGGGAAACAGAATGCGCGGAGAAAACCCAAGTTGATGGAAGTGTCACAGTACCCTTGAAGTCCCCCACTCTGTCGAGGTACTCCCTGGGAAGCCCCAGTCTGACAAGAGAAACACTCCTGGGATTCTGGTATCTGCTCCTACTTCCCAGGAAGTGCTCTGCTCAAGATCACTAGTGACCTCCAGCCAGAGAATCTAATGGAGACTTTTCCAGCCCTGTTTAAAAGCCTTCAGTGGCTTCCCACGGCCTGTAGGATAAAGTCTAAGCTCATAATCACGGCATTCAAGACTTTCGCTCTGGCCCCTGTCACCCCTTTAGCCCCATCTCCACCTCCACCCCACTCTCTACACTCCCACTGTAATGAAGTACTTGCTGTTCCCCAAACAGGACAAATGACCAGGCTCCCTGCTCCTACAGACCTGCAGTTCCCACCACCTGGAATGTCCTTCTCCAGCCCTCTGGCTAACTCCTCCTTCTCTTTCGGGTCTCAGCTGAAGCATCCTGTTCTCAGGGAAACTTTCTCTGGATCACTTATCCTAAGAGAGGGGCACCTCCTGTGTGAGGCTACTTCGCACACTGAATTCTAACTGCCTGCTTACTGCTGATCTCAGCCGTGTCTGTTCAGGCCACCATCTCAGCGCCTGTGCTCAGTCAGTGTCGGTGGAAGAAATGAATAGAGTTTTGTAGTCTGGATAGGGGAGCAGTCCACTTTCCTCAAAGCACAAAAATTCCCTCAGAACCTCCTTTTGGTACTACCATCACATGGAGACAGAGGGAACAGATACAACTGTGCAGGTACAGGAGACTAATGGGGAGGAGCTTGTGTGTGTGTGTGGTGAGGTTGTTCCAGGAAGATATTTTCAGTTTAATGTAAAGAGCTGCTTTTTCTTTCCAGGCAGAGTTGGGGTGCCTAGCAAGTAGAGTCCTGTCAGCGGGGGTGTGCAAGTGGGGTGCCCACCTGGTGGGATGGCTACCAAGAAAGGCCTAACAGTCCTCAAGGTTCCTGGAAGACATGTCCCCCACCCCACCTCCCACCCCGCACCCCCCACATCCGTGAAGAGTCCTGCAGGAGAGAACCTGGGAGAGGATGGGAAGGCTCCTTACCTTTCCATGGGCCGGTGCAGCCGTTTCCAGCCAGGGTAAGCGGCCTTGGCCTCGGTGCCGCCGCCAGTCATGCGGGCCTGCTTGGCGGCCTGGGCCGAACGCGTGTCCACAATGAAGCCCCGGGCCCCAGGGCGAGCCCCCGCCAGCACAGCTCGCAGCAGCTCCTCGTCCTCAGCGCAGCGCCGCTTCTGGGGCCCGGTCAGGGGCTGGCTGGAACGTAGCAGCACCTGCGGACAGGGACTCAGCTCGAAAGCCGTACCCACCCAGCCCTGGTTCAGGAACTTCGCTCTGGGAGCCCCTAGGCCAGGTCCACACACTGGAGCGGGTCTGAGCTGGCAGGGGCGGGCTGGAGCGCAGGAGCCTTATGGGCGGGACCCGCAAGGCGTAGGACCCAGGTCTGTGTGGGTGGTGGCCGGAGAGGGGAGGGACCGGATGAGGAGACCGTGGGCCTGTCCTGGGTTGACAAAGAAGGGACTAGGCTTCCAGCGGCCCAGATCCGCCGGGGGCGGAGCCAGAGAAAGGCAAGACTCCCAAACCAAGGAGAGGGGCGGGGTCAGAGACTGTGAAGGCTGGATTGAGCGGAGGGAGCCAGGCCGATTGGACGCAGGATGAGGCCCGGCCAGGATGGGGCCCGAGCTCGGGCAGCAGCAGAGCCGCGAGTTGGGCCGGCCAGTGCAGAAGAGGGCCAAGGAGAGAGGCAGTGGGTCGGAGCAGCGGAGTCGGGAGGGCGGGGCTCACGGTTCCGCTGGGAGCGTGGTGGTAGCTGAGCACAGGGAAGCGGCCTCCCTGGCGGAAGCGGGCGCTGCGCGCTAGGGCATCGTCATCCACCGCGCGAGGCACGATCACGGCGCGGGGGTAACTGGGGCACACGCTGAAGTCCTCGTTCACCTCACTCAGCCGCCACGCGTTGGTCTGCAGCGCAGGGAGGGGCGAAGGCTAGGTCTAGGACACCCAGTGAGTGCCCCGTCCCCGCGCCCCCTCCAGGCCCGGCCCTTCTAGCATCCCCTGGCCCCCACGACCGCGCCCACCTCGCGAGCTACTCGCTTGTAGTAGTGTTCGGGCGGGTGGAAGTGCCAGGCGTCGCCCAATCTCAAGCCCTTGGGACGGTAGAAGAATGGAAAGGAGGTGATGACCGATTCCAGGGAGGACAGCGCCTGGGGAAGGAAGTCAGGGCATATGAAAAAGATCGGAATCATCTCACCCGCGCCCTTCTAGTCTCTCTGCAGCTCCCGCCTTTCCACGTACTCCAGACCACCCTGCATCCCCTTGACATTAGCTGTGCCCTGGGATAACTGGATGCTGAGTCCCCTTGTGCAATAGCCCCTGTTTACTCCCCTCGTTACGGGATAACGGTAGCTTAAGGGTCACTTAAGAGGTGCACCCCTGGCACACCTCGATGGAGCGGGCAATGTCCAGCGTCGCTTCCACGCCCTCAATGTCCAGCTGGAGCACTCGCAGGTCTTTACAGCGCAGCGTGATGGTGCCGGAGTCACCCGCGACCCTAGGGACGGACGGGTTTAAGCTTAGTGTCCCCCAGGCACATACACCAGGGGAGGAGAAACGAGTTTCTTAGGATTGAACGTTATGCAGGGGGGTACCAGCTCCAACTGTGCTTGCCCTTCCCCCTCTCCGGACAGAGCCACGCGCTCCGCAACTGCGGGGACGCCCCCGCCACGTCTCACCGCTTCTCGATGGAGTCGACACTACGCAACAGCAGCAGCCACAAGTCTGAAGTCGCCTGGGGCCCTGGCGACAGCAGCAGGTGGTGGCCGGTGACGCACAGCGTGCCGCGCAGCGGGGGCGCCCCAGGGCCCCGCAGGAGCTCAGCTTGGGCCCGGCCAGTACGGATCAGCTCTGAGAACTCCATTCCGCCTGCGGTGGGCCTGGGGCCCAGGAGAAGGGCAGACTCCAGGAGCTTCAGGCGGGGCGAGCGCGGGCTCCGAAAGGGACAGGAACTGGCTGGGCAGCTGGCGACGCCGGCAGGACAGCTGTTAAGGAGGCCCTTTGGTGGAAGAGATCGCACAGTTTCACAGGAATTTCCCCCTTCTATTGCCAACACCAGGTAGCGAGAACCCAAGCCAGAACCTGTTAGGAAACCTCAATTTCGTCATCTGTGAAATGGGGAGAATAATCTTACTTAAAGCCCTTTACCTCGTGCCTGAGTCGCAGGAGGCACTCACTATTTTTCTTTTTTTTAAACTCTGGGTTGCTGGCATTCCCGCTGACTGAAAAAAGAAAGAAAAACATCATCTCTTCTCCTGTACCCTGGTGGAAAGCGTGGGTGTGAAACTGGGAGCTGTACTTCCTCCCCTATGTTTGAGGCTGCCTGGGGAAAATCCCTTGGTCCACCTTAAATGCAAGCAGCTGTGTAGCTGGTGCCCCTCCTCCACCACAGCTGGAAGTCCCTGCCTGAGGGCGCCCTCTATGGGGGCCATTTCTGGCTTAGTCCTGCCCTAGGGAGCCCCATCTCCTCTCACTCCATCCTTTGACCAAATATGGATTGCCCATACACTGAGCTGGGCCCTATATTTGGTATTGGAACCCAAGGATGACTGAGGAAAGTTCTGCTCATAGGGTTTTCAGTCTGGCAAGAGACACACTCAAGCTGGCCAATTACAGGAGTTTAAACAGATTTACTAGAGGACTCTTCCATCCATCCAATTATTCCTTCACTTCTTAAACATTGGTGCCTACACTTCCCTAAGTCCTGATTACTGAGAAGACTAAGACAAACTCCTGCCTTCCTCGGGCCTTCTTGTCCACTAGGTTCCAGGCTTGTGTGTGTGTGTGTGTGTGTGTGCGCGCGCTCGCACGTGAGCATGCCTGTGTATGCAAAACCCTTCTTTGGGGGCAGCCCAGTGGCTCAGCGGTTAAGTGCACACGTTCAGCTTCAGCGGCCCTGGGGGCGGGGGATCGTCGGTTCGGATCCCGGGTGCACCTCTTGGCACGCCATGCTGTGGCAGGCATCCCACATATAAAGTAGAGGAAGATGGGCATGGATATTAGCCCAGGGCCAGGCTTCCTCAGCAAAAAGAGGAGGATTGGCAGATATTAGCTCAGAGCTAATCTTCCTAAAAAAAAACCCTTTCGAATAAAAAAATGAAATCATAGGTGGACTCTCATAATATAAACATAAAATTGGAACTGCTCTATGAAAGGAACCAGACATAAAAGGGTACCAATTGTAAAATTCCAGACCAGCAGCATCAGCTGGGATGGGAATTCACTAGAAATGAAAATTATCGGGTCTTACCCCACAAATACTGAATCAGAAACTCCAGGAGTGGGGCCCAGCAATCTGTTTTAACAAGCTTTCCAGGTGATTCCAATGCATGCTAAAGTTTGAGAACCACTGGAAAGTATACAAAAAGGCACAACTCATCTGTGCTGTCAGAAATTAGGATAGTATTACCCTTAGGAGAGTAGTGCCAGGCCAGGAGCACAAAGCAAGCTTCCTAGATGCTGGTAGTTCTCTGTTGCTTGGTTACATAAGTGTGTTCTGTTTGGGAGAATTCATCAAGCTGTGTATTTATGATATGTGGATTTTTCTATGTGTGTGTTATATTTCAATACAAAACTTTAAAAAGGGAACTGCTCTGGTTGGAGCCCTGGGAGGGGCGGGGAAAAGGAGGTCCAGGAGCCCATCCACAGCTCTGTCCTTACCCCACTCGCAGTCCTCAAGGGATTTCCAAAGGAACCTAAAGTTCCTGAGAATTTAGCTCCCAACGGAGAGGCAGTGACTTGTCCAAGGCCCCACAGAGCCAGCACCAGAACCCAGGTCTCCTGACTCCCAGGCCAGGGTCTGGACACTATTCCTTTGCTGAAGGGCAGGTATCATGAGTGAGGACACGGGGCAGCTAGTCAGCCTCCTATCCCCTCTTCGCTCTCTTAACTTGGGTCTTGGGAAGAAGGCCAAGACTCTGGTGTGAATGATGCTTTCCTTATCCTGGAGCAACTTCCTTTCTGGGAACTGGGTGTCTCCTTCTGGGCAAAGACAATGAAATTCATCCCAGGGGCCAGAGGACCAGGGCTCCTCCTGCTCCCACCCGGATGGGCATCACGTGGCTCCCGGGTTAGCAGTTCAGGAAAATCCCAGCCCTTGCACACTCAGCCTCCCACACTCATCTATTCACCCACCCTGACACACTCAGCCTCCGGGACCCACCTTGAACATTCACCATCATACACTCCTTGGCACACTTCTTTCAACCTCCGCTTCTGCCACCTCTCCCTGGGCAATATTGCCAGCCTTTCCCTAATCCCAGAGCTGTAGCCTTGCCCTGTCACTCACCCCAGAATTCACCATGTCCCTGGGGCCACTGAAATTCCAGGCAGTGGGTGAAGAAGATGAGGAGGATGAGGAAGAAGAGAGCCTGGACTCTGTGAAGGCTCTGACAGCCAAGCTGCAGCTGCAGACACGGCGGCCCTCATACCTGGAGTGGACAGCCCGGGTCCAGAGCCAGGCCTGGCGCAGGGCCCAAGCCAGACCTGAGCCCGGGGGACCTGGGGCAATCTGCGGCTTTGACTCAATGGATTCTGCCCTTGAGTGGCTCCGACGGGAGCTGGTGAGTCTGGTGGGGTAAGCAGCCTTACAAAGGGCCTTGGGGCCAGTCTTCCTTAGGACCCAAGACCACGGGTGTGGGGAGGGGATGAGAATGGACCCCACCTCCAGCAACTGCCCACACCTCAGGCTCTGTCTTGGGGCTGAGGAGCCAGGGATAGACTTGTCCAGTGTTTTATTCAGGGAGCCATGCTGAAGAAGGATTCCATCCAACCTACTGACCTTGTGCTCCTGTGGCTCAGGGGACAGAGCCCTGCTCTTGGGGGCCACCAGTTATAGGTGGAGAGGGCATGGCCTCCCCAACTTTGGGAATTGCTATACCTCAAAAGTACAACGAAGTGAAAAAGGAGGCATTAACCACGCTGTAGGCAGAATCTGAGGCGAGTGTTGAATAAGTGGCTCTTAACCCAACATGTGCAAACATAAACATGTGGAGGCTCCAAATGGGGGATTCTGCTTGGTTGATCTGGGATGGGGCCCCAGGCACCTGTATTTGCTTAATAATGGCTCCTTAGCCCGGTTTTAGAACCACCAGTGCAGAGGAGCAAGATCTGAGAGATAGGGAGGGAGCAAGCTGAGATGAGAGGGGGTGGGGAGGACTCAGCCAGCGCAAAGACCCAGGGTGTTGCCAGGAAGGGAAGAATGGCGCTTAGCCGCTGAGGGCCGATCCAGCCGGCTCACGCCCCCTCTCGGCCGCAGCGGGAGATGCAGGCTCAGGACCGGCAGCTGGCGGGGCAGCTGCTGCGACTGCGGGCCCAGCTGCATCGACTGAAGGTGGACCAAGCCTGTCACCTGCACCAGGAGCTGCTGGACGAGGCGGAGCTGGAGCTGGAGCTGGAGCCGGGGGCTGGCCTGGCCCTGGCCCCGCCGCTGCGGCATCTGGGCCTCACGCGCATGAACATCAGCGCGCGGCGCTTCACCCTCTGCTGAGGGGCACCTGCATGCCTCCTGGGGCCCGCTACCCCTTCCCTACCCGACTTGGGGAAGGGAGAAAGGAGGGGTGCCCCAGAGGCGCCAGCACCTGGCGGGGGTGGGGGATGGGGCGGCACTCAGCTCTCTGGGAGCACAAAGTGCTAGCATCCTGTCCCCACTACTGGCCCAGCTGGGGGTGTGTGGGAGGAAGGGGAGTTGCTCATAGAGCCCACGCTCCTCAATAAACGCCCTTTCTGCTTCCCATCAAGGTCTCTGCCCTCATTTATTCAGGGCCAAGGTCGCTGTATGTCGTCTGTTGCTGGGACCAGGGATCCACTGCAGGAGAGAAAGCCCGGGGTGGGAGTGGAGATGGACTGATGGATTCCCATCTCCTCCACAGCTCCAGCTCTTTCTCTCTCTCTCTCTTTTTTTTGTCAGGAAGATTGGCCCTGAGCTACCATCTGGTGCCAATCTTCCTCTCTTTGCTTGAGGAGGATTGTCACTGAGCTAACCTCTGTGCCAATCTTCCTCTATTTTCTGTGCGATGCCGCCACAGTGTGGCTTGACCAGCGTGCAGGTCCTCCCCCAGGGTCCCAACCTGTGACTGCTGGGCGGCCAAAGCGGAGCACGGGAACTTAACCACTGCACCACGGGGCCAGCCTCTTTCTCTCTATTTTTATCAAGATCAGAACTAGGGAAGAACTTAAAATCCTAAATCACTCTCATGGAAGGTGACTTAGGTAGATGGGCAGCTGAGTGGGTTCAAAGCCAACTCCACCATTTATTTCTATCAGACCTTGAAGAGGTCCCTTAACCTCTGAATCTGTTTCTTTCTTTCTTTTTTGTGAGGAAGATTGTCCCTGAGCTAACATCTGTTGCCAATCCTCCTCTTTTTCCTTGAGGAAGATTGTTGCTGAGCTAACATTTGTGCCAATCTTCTTCTACTTTATGTGGGACCCCTCCACAGCATGGCTTAAGGAATGGTGCTAGGTCTGTGCCTAGGATCCAGACCTGCGAACCCCAGGGCGCTGAAGCAGAGTGTGAGAACTTAACCACTACGCCACCACGGGGCCAGCCCCCTGACTCTGTTTCTTTACCTCTAAAATGGAAATGCTAATTCTCACTCCACAAGAAGTTGGGTGCGTCTTAAGTGAGATAATGTACCATAAGCACTCAGTAAATGGGAACTATTTATTGCTTATCGTTTCTGTCACCAGTGGTACTATTATTATCACGCTGAGGTCCAGAGATGGACTCTGAAGCGCTCAGGGTCACAGCAAGGGGAGCTAGGGCCTGCAGCCCGGACCCGGCTCTGTGTCACTCTGTAGGCTTTTTTTATTTTGCATCTCTCAGCCTTTGTTTCTGTGTTACCCTCTTTGTCTGACTTTCCAACTCAAGCTTCCTCTTCCCCCCACCCATTTCCTGTCTCCCCCTTCCCTTCGCAGCTGAGGTGCACACAACATCGCTTCCACCTCACAAACCCCAACAATGCTCTGTGGGCTCCCCTCCCCCAACAAGCTCGCTCTTGTAGGCTCAGGGGTGGTGACGCATTTATACTTGCCTCTGGGTGAGGTCAAGGCCCAGCTCTTGGGCCTGACAGAGGCCACCTGGAGTTCCTCACAACACTGGCGACCTGGCCCTCAGCCTATGATGGGTGCACCCTCGGCTTGGCCCCAGGGGAGAGGGAGATTCTTAGCCTTAGCCGGCTAGCTGCTTGTGACAAGTTTCCTGCCTCCTGCCTATAACGGAAAGTCCTTCCAATCAGCTGCCTGCCCCTGGGTGCCTGGGCAGGAGTGTCTGTTCTGTCTTCTACCTGTTGCAGGAGATGGTGTTAGGCCCTATACCTCCAACAGGGGCTGGGGCCTTGCCTCTACCTGAGTTAGAAGTGTTGCCCTACTCTCCAACCATAATAAATGGGTGTTGTCGTGCCCTCGGCTCACAACAGAGGCTGTTACTCTGCCCTCTTAAAGACATGGGGTTGTCCTGCCTGATTCCTTAAACAGCCTGTTGTCCAGCATTCTGTCTGTGAGAGGAGTGTTAGCCCACCCTCTGGCTATAATAAAAAAGCTGTGTCCCATGCCCTGAGATGACATGGCTGTTGTCCTGCTGCCGACTGTAGCGGCTGTGTTAGCCTGACATCTGACTGTAACGTGGGTGTTCTACTCTCCAACTACGTAACGGGCATAGTGTCCTCTCCTCTGACTCTGAAGTGATGTTACCTTTGCCCTCAGACTGTAATGAAAAGGTCACTCAGCTCTCAGACTGTGACGGCGCTGCTCCTTGCCTTTCACTGAAAGCTGAGCATGTCTGCCTGCCCCTTGCTCAGTGGGGTTTCAAGGCTGCCCTTGAATCTCTTGCCAAGGTGCACCCTGGGGAGCAGGAGGGAGGTTCCATCAGATGTCCTCTCTTTTCCTCCGAGTGCCACCCTCAGGGTGAGTAGGGCCTGGGCTGGGGATGTAGGGGATTGCCAGGAGCTGAGGAGCGGGGGGCTATGGTGGCAGGAAGCTCAGGGTGCTGGAGGCTTGTGGTTGGGCTGCTGGGGCCCGGTTGGCTGAGGAGCCCTCAGGAGGAGGCAGGAAGTCAGGGTGGGACGTAGGCGCGGGGAGACAGGCGGTGGCTACGACGGCGAGGGGAGCTGAAACTGTGTCTGGGCAGCCAGGCAAGGCCAGGAGGACCATGTGAATGGGGCCAGAGGGCTCCCGGGCTGGGCAGGTAAGGAGTACTGGGAATAGGGGTCAAGGGGCTGTGGTGAGGGCCTGATAGCAGAGGGCTGCCTCTGGGCACTGGGGCAGGCTCCTTGGGTGTGCAGCAGCCCTGCAGGCTGAGAGACAGAAAAACCTTGCTGGATGTCCAGGGGAGGCATGCAGACAGCTGGATCACCTCTTTCCTTCATAGTTGTTGGCCCTTGCCTCTGCCACACTGCCTGCCATCAGTCTCTACCTCACTGGGAGCATTTTTCTTGAAGATGTGGCACATAGACTGTCAGGAATTCATAAGGCCTTCAGAAATCCCCAAGTCCAGTCCTTCATCCCACAATGGATGAGCCTCCTGAGGCCCAGAGAGGGCAAGGCACTCCCTTCCCACAGTCCCTCAGCAAGGCAGTGGCAGAATGGTGCCAGGCCGTGACCACCCATGGAGCAGGGTGAAAGACAGGCTTGAGTCAGGGGAGCCAAGAATCCCTCTGGTTGCTGGGGCAGACCCCAGTGACAAGAACCTCCTGAGAGAGAGAGAGGTCACCCAGAGCATCCAGATCGACACGTGAGAAGTGATTTAGCCTCAATGACCAGCACTGCTTGAGAGAGGGAGGAGTCCCCTGTTGGAAGCAGATGGATATGTGAGGGTATATTTATCATCTGGGATGGAGCCTCCTGGGCGGAAGTATCTGACCGGATGCTGGGAAGCTGGGGGGAGAGAGAGTGATGGGAGAAGGGGAGAGGAAGGGCTATTTTTATCCCGGACAGAGGTGCAGTTGGCCCTGGGCAAGGGACTTCTGAACTTCCATCTGGAAAGTTGCCATTCCCGCCCCTGCCAAGTGTGGCAGGATGTCCTCCCCTCTCCCCTTGCTCCCTCCCACTTCAGCTCCACGCACACTGCCTCGGCATGTGTGGGGCCAATTGGTCCTGCTGATTCATACTTCAAATTCTGGGAAGGTGGAGACCCAGGAAGGCATAGTCAAGCTACCTGCCCACTCCTTATTTTCTAACTCTGAGCCTTCAGTTTACAGGGGGAGTCCCTACCTGAGTGAGAATTTGCAGGTTTCCTCTGTCTCATCCTCTGCCTTTGGAGTTTTTCTTGACACACAATTTCCACCCAATCAGCATGTCCCAGCCTTTCTCCTGTCCCCAGCTCCAAGGCCTGCAGGCTTTTGTGGGAGCTGGGAAAACATGCTGGCTCTCCCTGCCCTTCAGGGGGCCTCATGCACACCCTGGATGCTCAGGGACAGTCTCCCCCACCCAGCCTGTGCTGACAGATGACTCAGACAGGGTCCCTCACCCTCAGGGCACAGGGATGGAGGTTTTTCTCCAAGGAAGAAGGGCCGAGTGGTGGGGCAAGAGAACCAGCTGAGGGCTCAGAGGACTAGAGAAAGCTTCCCTCAGGCGATCTGGAAGGCTTCCTGGAAGAGTCAAGGCAGTTTTGAGAAGGACAAAGGCTCATTTTGGAGAGCACCCAGGACATGAAGCTAAGGTCACTGCCCCTGGGTTCTGTCCCTTGGGTACCACGAGGGCAGACACCTCTGAGCAAGACCAAATGCCAGAGGGCCAATGAGTATGGTGTAGTGCCAAGAACATGCATTTCAGAGTCAGGCAGACCCAGCCACAATTCTGGTTCTGCCATTTCCTTGAATGAGTGGCTTCACCTCTCCGAACTCCAGTTTACTTATCTGTAAAGAGGCAAGAATAAGTCCCTCTCTTACAGAGAGCTCGTGGGGAATCAAAGACGAAATAATGACTGTGATGTGCCCTGGGTAGTACCTGATACATAGTAGGAGTTAACAGAGGTTAGGCTCTCCCTTCTCCTGCAAACAATGCACCAAAGGGACGGCTGTCCACACCCAGAATTACTCCCACTCAACACCTTGGCAGGACAGTGAACCACCCATTCCCTCACACTTGTAGTGTGGCTTTGCAAGCGAGCTTGTTTCCTGTGTATAGTGGTTGTGAGAATTCTAGGCTGTGTCTGCCTTAGAGGAGGGTCCCACACACAGCTTCACACACACACACACACACACACACACATCCTCCCTGGCCCAAACACCATTCACACCATCAATGGAAAATGAACATGTGCGTGTAGGCTCAGAGGCAGAGGCAGGAACAACACATACTGCACACACTGGATCCTACAAATCCATACACACACCCACAAGCTGACGGCTTTGAAGTTCAATTTGGTGAAAGCGAGGCTGAGGAGAGCTGGGTGTGTGGGTAGGATGAGGGTGGGTGGGACCAAGACACCATCCAGGCATGTGGCCTCTAACAACCAACTTCGGTGGTGGTTTTAAAGTATCTGGAGCTGCATTTCCAATGCTTGTTCTAAAGAACACTAGTTGGAAGTCCACAAGGCACCTGGAAAGAACAGGGTTCTGGAGTGAGATAGACATGGCCTCAGCTACAAAGTGTCCCGTATTCACTTCACAATCACTGTTAGCTTGTCATAGCCCTGAAAGGGCCCCCCTGAGAAGGAGCCTGATGGATTTTGTCTGACCCAGTGTTTCACCAACTTCCTTGGTCGCAGAGCCGTTTTTCCTGTATCCTCTGTTCTATATGCCTTCACC